CCCAGTACTCTGAGGTTAAAGTGTATTTGTAAAAGGAGATAAACAATCAGAACTTGTTTGTGTCTTTGAACGCACCATATCAGTGGTTATATCGCCCTTGTACGTCCTGGAGCTGTTTTGTTTTCCATCTATTTGCAGTCTGCAGTGACAGAGTTGGTTATGACCTTGTTATTCCTTCAGCATTGAATGGAGCACCTCAGTAACTCAGACCTGCTGCATAAATAATAAAGTGTATTATTTTAATGGTTTAGTATTTGTATGTACCCACTCCTTACTGAATACTGTATGTACAGGGGCAGAGAGCTGAAACTATTAGTTAATAATCGATTGATTTACCAACAGGAAATCAGCAGGCACTTATTTTGATTATTGATTAATCAATTAGGTCAAAATTGTGAGAACGTCTGCTTCTCGTTGTCATAAGTGACAGTAGATTGAGTATCTTTTGGGTTTAAACGACAGAAAAACAAACAATTTCAGGGAGTCACAGTTGGCTTGAGTAAATCACAATGTGCATTTTACTGAATTTCCTGATATTTCATAGACAAATACAGACAAATAGTGAATAATCTACAGATGAGTCAGTGGTGGAAATCACCGCTAGTGCTGACCTACATTTGAAGCAGTTTGTTTTTCAGTGTAGTTTCTATTATCTTGTACTCACAGCCACATCTGATACAAGATCGACCTCAATGTGGTACATGCCTCAGGGACTCACAATCTAACAAGACGACAATAGGTGTATAGCAGGTTTGCATTTGACTTGATTTCTTTTTTTATTTCAAAATGTACTGAGAGGCAGAACTTGCCCATGGCAGATGAATCTGGTCGACATGTCTGTTTATAATTACATGTAGTTTTACCACGTGGTACGTCGTTCAGTGATGGGGGGGAGGCGGCTTCACCTCAGTGCAGCTCCATACTGCAGCAGAGATATTATTGGAGATGGTGGAGGCTTAACTGTGCAGCCAAGCGTTGTGTTTCACATCCTCAAAAATGTGTAAATAGTATTGAAACATTCCCATCAAATGTCTGGTGAGATTTGTAGTGTTGTTTCCTTCTTATTTGATCAGATTGAAAAAGACAATATTTTATTTCATAGCACATTTACGACGTTGTCTTTAGACAACATGCCACATTGGAGAACCTTGGCTTTAAAACGTTTTGTTGAAAAACATGTACACTGTTTGTTTCTCAAAGTAAAGTATGAAAACAGTGTTTTTTTACCCTTACTGGGCCTCTATGTTTGTTAATCCATCTGATAGGACATTTAT